GCCGTCATTGTTGTTTGGCGGGTCCGGGCTGGGGATTCGAACCCGCCACCTTAGGTGTACGTGGCTGGCGCCTTAGCCAGCTGAGCTATAGGCGCCGAGCCTGTCATTCTCAATAGAGTGCTGTAGCATCACAGCTCATAGCAACCTCCTCCAGCTCTTGGGCTTAGGTGATTCTCTTGTCTCAGCCTCCCAAGTAGCTGGGGCTACAGGTGCCTGCCACAATGCCTGGCTATTTTTTTGTTGCAGTTTGGTCGGGGCTGGGTTGGAACCCAAAACCCTCGGTACATGGGACCGGTGCCCTACTCACTGAGCCACAGGCACCACCCAGATAGAAACTTTTTAAAATGCCACTATTATTCCTAAACAAATTGACAACATTAATATTTATTTTTTTGAGGCAGAGTCTCACTATGTCACCCTTGGTACAGTGCCATGGCATCACCACTTACAGCAACCTCAAACTCTTGGGCTCAAGCTATTCTCTTGCCTCAGCCTCCCAAGTAGCTGGGACTATAGGGACCCACCACAATGCCCGGCTATTTTTTAATTTTTTGTCATTGTTTTAGCAGCCTGTGGCCAGGTTCGAACCCACAAACCCCTGTGCATGTGGCCAGTACCCTAACCACTGTAGCCCCAAGCCAACAACATTAATATTTAAAAGTCAGCAATAGCATACTTTAAAAAAAAAAACCTTTAAAAACACAATAATGCAAACAAATGTATAAGTTATAATTGATGACTTTTCTCATACATGTATGTTGAGTACCATTTTTAGTGACTGTCTCTCAAATTATCTCTTAAAAATTACGAGGTTTCTTGATAGTGGTTTCCCCACATTCAGGAAGGGTGCTGAGGCCAGGGCCAGGCTGTACTACTGCAAAATCCTTAAAGACTAGAATGAACCAAAAGGACTTTAGAATAAAAGTTCCAGTTTTAATGGGTGTCAATGACTTTGAGCAAATCAAGGATGCCAAGCCTCAGGTTTTTTTATCTTTTTTTTTTTTTTTTTTTTTTGAGACAGAGCTTCAAGCTTTAGACTGGGTAGAGTGCTGTAACATCACAGCTCACAGCAACTTCAAACTCCTGGACTCAAGCAATTCTGGACTACAGGCACCTGCCACATCGCCCAGCCATTTTTTGGTTGTAGCAGCCGTTGTTTGGCAGGCCCTGGCTGGATTCGAACCTGGCAGCTCTGGTGTATGTGGCTGACGCCTTAGCTGCTTGAGCTACAGGCACCAAGCCTGTTTTCTTATCTTTTAAATAAGCAAACATTTGAATGATACATGATACAGACAGACTCGTATAATATAAACATGTTATATAAGTATAAAAGCATATTATCATTAGGTTGTCAATAACAAAACAATATTCGGTGCACCTGGCATCAAACTGATTGCTTTACATACATTTTCTTGCGTAATGTCTGAACATATATATCACATTTTCGGTGCTTAGTTTTAGTTTTCTCATTCCAGCATGGCTTTACCGTGCTCATTTTGGAGCTGAAGGCCAGAGAAGAAAAAATTAGCCCAAGTTTGCACAAGCACCTTCGTGGTAGAGATGGGACCCAAACCATACCCAGGGTGCGCCGTAGACCCAGCTCCCTCTGGCGGGTGTCCAGGGCTCTGCTCGCCTCCCGCTTGGCCGCGCTTGGGCCTCGGACCTTTCCGTAGTGCTCAGTTCCGCCCCTTCGGATTCCGAGGAACTCCACCTCTCTGCCAGCTCGTGTTGGCCAATCACTGCGGGTTTAGGATAAACGGTAGGCAGGACGGGGGTGGGGCTCCCATGTGATTGGCAGCAGCTTCAGCCACTCGTATGAGGAGATGCTGAGATAGACAGTGAGTTGGTCCAATGGATGTAAATTCTGAGACGGGAGCAAGCCAATGCTGTCGGGAGGCGGGGCTCGGATGTGTGTAGAAGGTACCCAGGCGCTTGTAGCTGCTATCGCAGCGTCGTAGGCGCAGATCTGCCGCCGGTGTGTTTGGACGTAGTGTTCCCCACCGCTATGAGCTACACAGGTGGGCTCTGCAGGGTGGGGACCGGGGGACCGGGTTGGGGACGCGACAGGGAGGTTGCCAGTGCCGCGCCAGGCTCACCCACACCTCCCCCGGGGCCCCGTCACTGCTCTGTCTGCGGTCACAAAATGGCGCTGCAGAACAGCACCCTAAGGGTCGCTCCTCTCACGCTTCGGCGCCTCAGTTCTCTGTGCTGGCAGCCTGGCGTCCCAGCTTCTGGGCCTCTCGAGGTCTTGGCTTCTGTCACTTCTGTCTGGGGGCCCTGGGCTTCGGTGCCCGAGGTCCCTGCTCTCAACCACGTCCTTCCCTGGCCCGTAGTCCTGGGACCACGACCCCACAGGTCTCCTTTTCTAAGGCCTTAGCCCTTCAGAGCAGTCAGCACGCTCGACTGCCGTAGCCATTGCGGCGCGCCCCCACCCCCACCCCCGCGCGCGCAGTTTTTCTGAAAAACGCCGCAGCTACCCCCAACTCCTATCCCTCCCACCCTTTTTTGCGCGTCCCAGAACTGGAAGAAACGCCAAACCTCAGGGGAATAAGTAAATATTTGAAGGGTTTGGGCTGAGCACGAGCCTTGGCAAGGAATGGCTAGCTTCCACGTTAATGCACTTAACATCTGTCAAAATTTACCATGTCAGGTGCTGCATGGGGACTGGGAATACTAACAAGTGTTTCTCAAGCAGAGTATAGGGGAGAATATATCTTAACAGGCAAACAAATGCGTCGAGGATCTATTTTGGATTGGTCAGTACTGTGAGGGGGTTGCTTCATTACATGTTATAAAGGTGGCATTTGAACCGAGACTTAATGGAGTTAGGAAGTAAAGGTATCTGACCCAGGGCAGGAGCTGCCTGGCCTATTAGATAAGCCAGGGATCCCAGGAGTTGGAGGTTGCTGTGAGCTGTGATACCATAGCACTCTACCCAGGGCGACAGCTTGAGGCTCTGTGTGGAAAAAAAAAAAAAAAAAGAACTTGGATAGATAAGCCAGGGAAGTCAGTGGGATTTGAGCAAAAGGGAGAGTGGGTGATGAGATCTGAGAGGACCTGTCCTCCCGCCTCCCCCCTCGGCCTCAGTCCCCCCAAGGAGGGAGGTGGGCATCGAGGGGGTGAGGGGCCCTCCCCTCCCCCACCCTCCCCCCCCCTCCACCAGAGATATGCTTGAGAAACTGTAAATTGTCACCAGGTGAATTGCCAAAGGCAGCCTCGATTTGCCTGCCTTGGTAGTGACTAAAGAGGCTTCTCATCCAGTAGCCATACTAGGCCTTTCTGTTTTGTGGGGGTATTACAAGCTTGGGTGTATTTGGTTGCTGGGTAACCTGCATTCTACTCAGAATGTTCAGGAATGAGAATGGAACTGGAGCCTCTGGGGCTCTTTTGTGGGCTGCTTTATGTTGGCATAGACAAGAAGGCAGTGCCAGTCCTCCCTACTCTTATTTCCCAGGTCAAGAGCTTGCCAAGAACTCCGTTTTTCTAGCAATCATATCCCAGTCCAGTGGTTCTCAATGAGGGGTGATTCTTCCCTCAGAGGACATGTAGCAGTGTCTAGAGTCGTTTTTGGTTGTCACATCTTGGGGTGGGTATGCTCCTGGCATCTGGTGGATAGAAATCAGGGATGATGCTCAGCATCGTACACTGCTTGAGATTCATTGTGGTGCCATAAATAATTATCTAGCCCCAAGCATCATTAATGCCAAAATTGGACAGCTCTACCTGAACTTATCTGTAGCTTTCCTAGTTCAGGAGGAAAGATATTAATTAGGGTGGTTGTTGACATTTCTAGTATTGGGATGTAATTCTCTTCACCGTATCCTTCTAAGACCTGGAAGATAGTTTTATGGTTTTTCGGGACAGGACTGCTGAAGAAACCAGAAGATGAATGGTTGGATGCTGTAGAGTAGCTTAATAATGGAAGATTTATTTTTTGTGTTTAGCAGGCCCTGGCCATGTTCGAGCCTGCCACCCTGGTGTGCGCGGTGGGTGTGAGGGATGGGTGTGTGCTCTAACCATTGAGCTATGGGCACCTGGAACATTTATTTTTATAGATGAGGAAACTGAATTAGAGAGGTCACTAATGGACAAGCCTGAATTTGAGCTCTGAATCTTGTAGGCTGCAATTCTGGTTTGAGATACCCAAACTAATGAGGTAATGATTAGTTTTTCCTTGCTCTTAAGAAACTGAAAATCATGGTTCCCAATAATGGGAATAGACCACTAAAGTGTTTTGTTTTTGAGACAGAGCCTCAAACTGTCTCCCTGGGTAGAGTGCCATGGCATCACATCACAGCTCACAGCAACCTCCAACTCCTGGGCCCAAGCGAGTCTCCTGCCTCAACCTCCCAAGTAGCTGGGACCACAGGCGCCTGCCACAATGCCCGGCTATTTTTTGGTTGCAGCCATCATTGTTGTTTGGCAGGCCCGGGCTGGATTCAAACCTGCCACCTTAGTTGTATGTGGCTGGCGCCTTAGCTGCTTGAGCCATAGGCGCCGAGCCTGTTTTGTTTTTTTTTTTTTGAGACAAGCCTTCACGCTGTTGCTCAGACTAGAGTGCTTGGGGGTCAGCCTAGCTCACACTAACCTTAAAACTCCTACATTGAAGTGATCCTCTTGCCTCAGCCTCAATATGTGGCTTGATCTATAGGCACAGAACCCTAATTTGTCTTTAACTCAGTTACTTTACACTTAGGAAAGGAAACTCCATCTCTAGTACTGAGAGGGAAGATAGGAGCAATGGAAAAACAGGACAGAAAAATCCAAAATCAGGCCTTCAGCAAAGGTCTGAAATGCTGCTAATCTTATTATAGAAATACTTATTATCTTACCTCAGTTTCTTTGTGTTAGGAATGGGCAAATAGTTTAACTGGGAGGTTTGGGCTTGGGATATCACATGAGGTTACATTTAGGATATCTGATCCACCTGGACAGTAGTCATCTGAAAGCTTGCGTAGGGCTGCAGGTCCCACTTCCAAGATGACTTAAAACTCCTATGCAGACAGATGATGTTGGCTATTAGTTCTTTGCCATGTGGCTGTCTCTCCATAAGTCACGCTCAGTCATTTCTGTAAATTTTTTTTTTTAAGAGATAGTCTAACTGTTGCCCTCAGTAGAGTGCCGTGGCATCACAGCTCACAGCAACCTCCAGCTCTTAGGCTTAGGCGATTCTCTTGCCCAGCCTCCCGAGTAGCTGGCACTATAGGTGCCCACCACAATGCCCTGCTATTTTTTGTTGAAGTTTGGCCAGGGCTGGGTTTGAACCTGCCAACCTCAGTATATGGGGCTGGCGCCTTACTCACTGAGCCGCAGGCACTGCCCCCAGTTATTATTTTTTTTTCTTTTTTTTTTGAGACAGAGCCTCGAGCTGTCTCCCTGGGTAGAGTGCTGTGGCATCACAGCTCAC